AGTTAACTCTTCTCCGTTGTCCAAAGGCATCCATGCTGACAATATTCTCAAGCCCTACTGAAACTGTGCTCCACATCTGAACAAAACTCCCTTCCCTTTTCTAGCCTAAAAAACAAGCATGCCATTTTTAAAAGTTTTATGTAGACGTGCCTAACAGACAGGACTAACTGTATCAAATTATACTTGCCACTTCTTTCTGTGTCAGCATATTTTTTGCCTTGGGCTTGCAATTTGAAAGGGGAGGGCCCAAACACTTTTATTGCATTTAAATGGGACTCCAAGCTGTTTCTAGGCTCCTCTTAACACATTTCGGCTGATTAGTGACTATCTTAACAAAAGCCTAACATCCTTTCCTAAACATCTTAATTGGTTAAGAGCTTCTGTTGTTTGCCACGAGCAGTCACTTTAAGTCATTGATTAAAGCAGTTTGCACATCAGCACAATCTGAAATCAGTTTTCTTCTTCAACCAGCTGGGCTTAGGAAGCAATCTTGAGGACAGCCCAATTCAAGGAGAACCAAGTGCAATGCCCTGCGTGACGATCATGCACCATGCAAACAAGAGGCGCAGAATTTATAGGAGGTTGAGGGCAAGAACGGAAGTGCTGTAAGTACAACTGCTCTCTGCCTCCTAGATCGCACTCATTAGCACGCAGCGCAAGGGTGAACTCTGACAGCAAGCTGGAGAACATACCCTTCCTGGGAAGCACCTATCACTAATCCGAGTTCCCAGCAGAGCCGCCTGTGAGCACCTGCCTCGCGGCACTGTGGGCCCGGAGCATGATGGCACGCCGACGGGTCACTATGTTAAATGCGGCTTCAGACTAGACTGCTCTTCTGGGTGTTCTGACGCGGGGAAAGTGTTCATGTGAGTTCCACATTTTCAGCCAGAGGGAAAAATACCCTTTCCATGTCTAACATAAAAAGGGGGGAAAAAAACACCCACTCAGCAGGTTTAAGGCAAGCAACCTCTGCCTGACAGGAGAGAACAAAACGCTGAGAGTGGGAACTCTGCTGTGGCAGAGTGCATCCAGACCCCCTCTAATGCTCTCAGGAAGAAATCTTCGTGCTCACTGGGAACATACCCACAGCAAACAGCCTTTTATTTTTATGCTACCAGTTGGCTCTCTTTCTTAACAGATAGCCAGGCTACATTTTACAAGAATCATACCCTGTAATTAGACATCTTCTGATCCACAGATTGACAGGAACTTGAAAGAATTTAAAAAGCTGAGTAAGAATGGATAGAAGCCTTTTAGGAGAGTTGATGAAAACCAGAAAGACTTTCAAAGTGGTTATGTGTGTATGACGGTCTTTGCTTCCGGTGTCATGTCTTTTTTCTTTCTTCTTTTTGTCTTCATTTGAAAAATCTCATTTTAATTATTTGGTTGACTAGTTTTATTATATTAAAATGTAAACTGCAGGGCAGTGCTGTGCCATTTAATGAAATGTAGGCAACCCATGAAGAAGTTTAAGCCACAAGATCCAGTGTCCTCCACACATTTGCAGTCATCAGTGGAAAGTCAACGACTCCGGGCCTCAGTCCACCCCCAAGAAGATCCATGAGTGAGACACTCGGGGTCACGGCTACATAATTACCATGTCAAATCCTAACACACCCTTGTAGCGGGTCTCCTTTACACTTCCAAAGAAACGGATTGCTGTTTCCAACTAAGACTTCTTGTCATCGATGAATGAGACATAAAATAACCCTGACAGTCAAGTTCTGGGGTTTAATAATTTAAAACCAAACAAGTCAAAAGGGAATCCAAGGAACAAGTGGCATATTGAATAAAAAATATGAAGTATGGACTAAGCCTCTGGAACCCATAATCATGTGTTTTCTCTCTTCTGACTAGATGTGTCACTGCTGTTTTGGGAAAGGACTAAGAAAGTGTGTCACACTGCTAAAAAATGACACAACTTTTATAGGGCTGAAGATGTTTACAATTTTAGTTACTGTTTGTATTTACTATCCTTCTTTCAAGACATTCAAGATATCCGACAGAACTTATTTTTCTTAAATTTACCAGCTCTGTGTAAAACAGAAAAAGGCCATATTCTTATCTTCCTACGTTTATCTGGAAAGAGCTATGATAAGTTACATAAGCCATACCCAAGATTACATAAACAGGCCCATTCTCTCTCTCTCACACACACACACACACACACACACACACACACACAGAGGAAATCTCTCCTAAGTCTCAATTCTTGGGGATCCACTCTTCAGGGCTTGCCTCATGGCGGAGAGTCATATAATGCATGTAAGTAAGCTACTGTGCACCTGGGACAGTGTCATCCCATACAGAAATGGAACTGAAAAAAATGTCTATTTGGCTTTGATGAATGATGTAATTTTATCATGAACTGTTACCACGTTCCATCCTGTGTTGGTAAATTTTAAGAAACACCCTTTAAAACTGAAGGAATATTGTTTGATAATCAATGAGAATGAGGTAGATGGGAGAACAAAAGCAAAAAGGCTTGAGGATGAAAAGTGGTCCGAACAAAGTGAGACAAAACAGATTCAAGAAAAAAAAGAAAGGCCTCAGAGCCAGAAAATAAAGTGATCATCATCTAATCAGATGGGTATGTGCACACTCCTGCTCCCTGTACTTAAATCTAATGGTAAACGTCCATACCATTCTTGCCTAGGATGGCTCTTCTTGACAGATTTGTTTTTTAAACCAACCACGCTCCTGTGAACTCAACTGGGTGGAACGGAGCTCCACCACCCTACCCCTATTTGGAAGCCTAATACAGAACCTACAATCTTTCTCTTTTTTTTAAGTGACATATTTTTTTAGGATTTTATTTATTTGAGAGCGAGTGAGAGAGCATGAACAAGGGGAGGGGCAGAGGGAGAAGCAGTGAGTAGGGAGCCCTATGCGGGGGCTCAATCCCAGGACCCCGGGATCACGACCTGAGCCCAAGGCAGACGCTCAACCGACTAAGCCACCCAGGCACCCCCAGAACTTACAATCTAAGTGGCAAAACAAGGTCCAGAGAACAAAGTTACATTCCATTCTTTCTGACTCAGAAGGTCCTCAGAGAACCTGTTTTTGAGACACCAGGTACATCCAAGCTACTTGACATAATATCTCATACTTAGTGGGAACATCTCAATTTAGACTTATCTTGATCACAGGAATTATTTAGAGGGTTGAAATAATGTGGCTTTTCCTCCTCCTCTAATTTGCTGTCTTTTGACCATTTTAGCATTCTTCCTAAGTAAAAGCAGGGAAAGAGCAAGGATTTTGAAATCCATGGTGTTCCTCCAACAGCTGGTGGAGGAGGGTGTTCACATAAAGGGATAACCTGGATTCAAGGAGTCTCTGAGAACGCTGTGGACTCAGGTTCTTCCAATAACCCACAATTGCAGATAACAGATATCACGGATGAAGGCACTGATGCACTTATGAATACCGTGTGAGAGAAACAAGTCTACTTTCACCACTGAGAAATGATTATTATGCATACGGCTGTGGTCAAGAATTTTTCTCTTGTAAAACTGCAGTGAGAATGGTGGGCTGGGTAGGGAGGGCGAACGAAAGGGATCAGAAAAAGAGGAGCACCTGAGAATCAAAGACAGCTTACAGAAGCATCAGCAGCCAGAAAGAACATGTTCCCGGGGTTCAGTGTCATCTCCTCTATGCCAATAAGCTTCGGACAAGAAATATGCCTCACTGAAAACCAGAAGGTAAGAAAATGTGTAGATGCCTACTGTAGACTGCTAGTGTCAAGGGGACAGGACCGCAAAACTCTAGGTATGACTGTACTATTAAGCCAGATAGAAAGAAATTATACCCATATTTTAGTTTATAATAATAGGTAAACAGGTCAATTTCTAAGGGTAAAACAATCTTACCGTCTATTACTGATCATGCTTTTGGCAACTGAATTTAAAAAGCAGATCTACTGGAGAAAAGAGAAGAGCTTCTCCCTCCTCTGCCCTAGGTACAGATCCCTGGGAGGGACAGAGGAGAGCAATACCAGAAAGGTAGCTTCAAGTTTGGAGGACAATTTTGGGCTTCAGGGAAAGTGAGTCTTCACTCACAAAGGGCCTTAGTAGAGATGCCCATGCAGAACACAGCTAGGAAAAGTAATGAACAAACAAAATTTCTGGAGCTTGAAGCAAGGAAAGGAAGGATAAAAGGGAAGCCAGGTTAGGACCATAAAACAGAATTGGTTGCTCACAGGTGGGCAGTCCCATTTTCCCACAGCCCTGCAGAAAGTCTGCCTTTGTGAGGTCACTGCAGAGCTCTGACTGACCCAGTCCTAGACGGAGGAACAGAGGGACCCCACCATCAAACCACCAGCAGCACACCAGGTCTCAGTCACATTCAACATAAAAGGACGGTCTACTCCTCAAAAGTCCTACCTACAGGCACAAGGTTGAAAATACATGACCTTCTTATGTCTGAACAACAACAAACATGTGTAGGAAAGGAGGGCATTAGGAATCAGGAGAAACAGTCGGTTAAGTAGAAAAATCCAGTATTTGAAAAAGACAAGGATTTGAATCCCTGTGTGATTTAGGGGAGAAGTTCATCTCTCCTAGTCGTAGTTTTTCGCATAAAATGGGGAGAATGCTACCTATTGTAACTTCTATGCCACGTAGGGGTCACCTGCCCTTGTTACTTTCACAAGACTGCTTTGAATCCCCAATTCCATGGCCTGCGGAAACACTGTTTTCTGGAGATGTGAGCAAATTCTTAAGAATTTACTCTCTCATGGGGCCCTTCAGACTCTGGTCTCCTGTGCTCTCAGGTCCTTTCTCTGCTCTGCCTGAAGTAATTCCAGACCCAAAACTCTTTGTCTCTTCACCAGTTTCCCCAGATAGAGCTCTCAAACCAAGGAATCCAGAATTTTATTGACAGTGAATATTGGCAGTTATGAGTTGGGAACACACTGCTGAACACTGTGTCCTTATATAAATTCATTCACTCCCTCTCCTTTCTACTCAGCCCTTCCTTTCCTGAACTAGCTCCCGTTTTTCTACTTCTATGATGTCAGTAGAGTCCCTCTTCTCTGAACCCTGACTGGCTAACCACCAGGCTGGAGACAGGCTCAGCCTCTACCCTAAGCAGTTACCAAAATATTCTCCTAATTAAAAAAAAAATTATTTTTCTCAGAAAATCCTGGCACCAACTGTTAAAGCTCTACTGTCTTCTCCACTTGCTCACATGACTGCAAGAGTGCTCTGTGGGATAACTGAGACAAAGAATATAATAGCTCAGCACATGCTATTATATACAGAATATGCTAGCACAATGACCTGAACACAGCAGACACTAGTGCCTGCCTTTACATTCATGACCGTGCCAGATTGAGTCCCTGAAGAGACCACACCTCTACCAGCCAGAAAGACTAGTCACTTCCAAAGGGAGGAACTCTGCCTTTGGCCGAGGTAATCGACAACATATAATCAAAAGCTAAGAAGGCCTCCATCTTTCTTCAAAAACACGGTAATCATGACAGACAACGGCTGGCTGACTTGCCACAGTAATGTCTCTGCATTCTCCCAAACACAGTCACAATATGCAGCCAAGCAGAAAACAGCACAGGTAGGAATGCTATGAAAGCCTCCTTTGATCACCCCCATACATGCAGGAGAGAAATTCTGAAGTACTGTTTCCACCAATCCTTCTGGAAAGCTGTCACTTTAATTTCAGATCTCCTTCATCTACTTAGATGTAGTTTTGTTTTGTGTTAAACTCAAGAGCTTTTCTCCTGTATGGCAATTCTTAAAAGGGCAAAAAGCTCTTTCCCCACCTCAAAACACAAAACATACAGATTATCATAGTAACGAAGCTTGTCTTCCTCCGGAAATTCTCATGGGCTGGCCTTCGGTGTTCCTGCCAGTAGGACTGGTCCAGGAGACCGTATGCTCTGGGGCTCAGGTGGTCACGACTGCCTATGGGCAACAGCACAACAAGCCCAGGCGTTTTGCTAGGATTCTCAGACTCTCAAGAAGTAACCTAGACCTGTGCCAGGCACTGCAGAGGATCAAAGTAGAAACTGTAGGGTTTCCTAGACATTTAGGAGTCATTTCTCCCCCTAAAATGCCAAGAAGTTGGGAGAGAAGTTCTGTGCACACGTTCACATAAACACACGGACAGGCCTGACCCTGGATGGCAATAATGAACACAATGTTCTCATATGCACAAACCTGCAGGATTAGAACTGCCAGCCGCCTCTCCTTAAAGAGTAAAGAGGTACCTGAACACAATCAAGCGAATGAATGTTGGTCCCAGACCCTCTGTCCATTCCAGGAAACTTTAAATATTAGCCCAAGCCTAAGTGGAATTCTAGGTTATTAATTCATAAAAAGAAAATGTGAGGATGTAGTCAATTTCAGAAAGATCAAATCTAGGGGCAGCAGGACGGTGTTCTGGGACTTGTGTAAAGAGGCTCAAACCCTTAGGCCTAGAACAAGAATTATGGGTCACTGAAAAGAGGAAGACATGACACAAAAATGTTTTATTCCAGAGGCACCTGGGGGGGCTCAGTCATTTAAGCATCAGACTCTTGATTTCAGCTCAGGTCATGATCTCAGGGTTGTGGGTTCAAGCCCCGCACTGGGCTCTGTGCTCAGCTCAGGGTCCGTTTGTCCCTCTCCCTCTGCTCCTCCCCCCGCTTTCGTGTGCTCTCGAAAAAATATTTTTTTTAAATGTTTTATTCCAAGCTCATTCACAAGACCCCAAAGAACTTCAGTGAAGTGGAACCAAGAGCTCTAAGGTTCCGGCCTACAGTTTTCTTAACAAAAAGACCTACAAATTAGCTCTTTTCCTACTTGGGCAGACCTGTGCTGAGTTTACCCTCACGTGCTCAGAGTGTTGCTCTGATGAGCTCACCAGTAACACACAATCACAAAGGTCCACGAGGAAAGAAACCTGCTGTATAAGGATACCAACAAAAGGCTACACTTCTTAATCTAGAGTATAAATCCATTATCCTAATTATCTATCTTCCCTTAAATGCAGAGGCAACAGCATAGCACTCACCTTCCTCAAAGCTGGCTTTCTTCTGCCTCACTAGAACACGGAAGTTTTCGGCAGGATTCACACTTCCGACCTAGAATGCACACACAGACAATAAACCCGCAGATCACTTCTCTTTTTGGCAGCACCCCAGCAATATGAGATGGCTTAATGTAGTAAGTGTGCTCTTCTAAAATAAAACCAAAGACAAAGAGAAGGTCCTTTCTATTCATTTCCATTTCCAGGGTTATGTTAAAAGCAGGCAGATTCCTGTGGCCAAAGAGCTGCCATCCGTACTTTCACTTATCTCTCTTTATGGAAGCGGACTTCTTTCCAGAGAGGTCAGAAGTACTACAACCCAAGTCACCAGTCAGCTCAGCCAGAAGGCCTTATGTGACACAGTGCTGGTACATCCAGACACCCAACAAGTAGGAAGGGGAGGATTCTGCAGTGTGGGGTCCGTTCAGAATATATTTGCCGCACTGCAGATGACATGAGAAATAACTGCCTCATCCTTGGTTTGCTGAACTGCCCTTTTGTGGGGACTGCTGAGGTCTCTCTGGCATTGAAGTTTTGGTAGAACATACAAACATGTCCAGCTGCACATGTCCCCCCCCAAAATAAAAGCAGATATTGTGTAAAGATTTACCATAGTGCTAGGTATGAAAGTTTTAAAGATGAAACTCTGCACACTATATGGCACTTCCTGATCATACATAGGTCTTTAATCTTCCAGTCCCAACCTGGAGGCAGCTGGGTGGCTCAGTCAGTTAAGCATCCAACTCTTGATTTCGGCTCAGGTCATGATCTCTGGGTTGTGAGATCGAGCCCCGTGTCGGGCTCTGCACTGGACGTGGAGCCTGTTTAAGATCCTCTCTCTCCTTCTCTCTCCCTCTCACCCTCCCCGCCCCTCCCTCTCTTAAAAAAAAAGAAAAAAAAAAATCTTCCAGTCCCAACCTCAACAAGCCCAAAGTATCACTCAGCTCACTGGGGAGAAGACAATGGGCTTCTATTACAGCTGGTAAACTTTGGTACAAAATGTACTAAAGTTTCGAGGTTGCTCTGGGATAGCAGTCAGAAAAGCTCTCAGAACAAATAAGGTCATGATCTTTTTCCTTTTATTATAAAACACTGAAATAAAAATCCAAATCATTTTCAGATGTTCAGTTTTCCTGAGAGCATTCCTTTTTAAGGTTGGAAAAAAGGCATGCCCCTTCCTAGTGCATTTGGCTAGTAAGGGACAATTTTTAAAATTCACTGATTCAAAATAATGCCACTTAACAGAAAATAATATATTCAAGTTCCAAAACCTTCTCATTAAATAAAGAAGATCTCAAGTGTTAAAGGGTACTTGGTTTGGGAAAATGTTAAACTTGTGAGGCCTGTTCCGAAGTTACATATTAGAGAAGAAATAGAGAAGTCATGCTCTTAAATTTTACAAATTCGGAGACTAAGACTCCTATCATCAACCTCCACTTATCCCATCGTTTTAACTAAACAGAAAGCTGCAAAGTAAAGCCAACCAAAAAATCTCTAACAAAAGTGCTACCTGAGCTATTCCATGCACTGCATATTATACCATGCTCTACGCACATGTGTCAAGGACAGATTTCTGTAGGTAATTCCCTGACAATAAAGGAAGAAGTGTGGGAAGGATGTACATGGTTCATATATTAGAAGCACCAGAGAAAGTGAATTATTAAAGGACTAACAAAAATTGATGCATTTCTGCACCGCCCCCCACCCCAAGTCCCAACCTTCCAGGAAGGCGGGAAGCACCCTGGGAAAGTACTGCTTACACTGGTGACACTTCCTTCAGCCAGGCTGGAGATGCTAAAGCAGGCCTCCCCTTCCTCAGTCTTCAGTTTTTTAGAGGTGGGACCCTCTTCATGGCTGGAAAAGAAATAAATGGATTTTTTCTCTTAGAACAGAATACACAATACAAAAACCAGACTTGGTTGACCCATGAAGTATACGTTTATTTTTCAAGTGTCAAAAATAAACAGCCGCACTTAGTCCTTGCTGACGAAGAGCCTGCCCCACCCCCACCCCCACAGCCCCAAATTCCCAAAGGCCTGACAGGAGCCACCCTGGCTCTGCCTCACAGCGCCAGAGAAGTCAGCAGCAGCAGCCGCAGCACAGAGCCCCCTCCAAAGATGAAACTGCAAGCAACGGTAAAGGAAACCCGGCATTTCAGGAAGAGACCCATTTACCCCTCAGATACCATCTGCTAGTTTCTGTCTCAGAATTGATAGCTATTAGCTTTCCATGGACATGGATGACCTTTGGGTCTAATACCCCATCTTCTCCATCATATATGTGAGAGCTTTATAAGCTTCTGCTCACAGCTGTCAAAACTTACTAGACAATCCTTAATTAAATATGCAAGACCTTGTTCTTAATAGTGCTTAAACTATAAAAAACCACTTTCAAAAAAAGCCCTTTAATTTGTTCTTTTATAAACCTAATTCTATTTTGGGCAATATGCTAACAGTCCAACAGCATCTGTGTAGTAAGGGAAAGATGATTCCAAGGAACTGTATCAAACATCTTATCTCAAGTAACATGCTGGCTTCAACAGCCTGCCTTAAAGTCAAGAGGAGGACGAAAATTAATTGCAAAGGAGAAGAAAAACAGATCCAAAGACTCTGCCCATAATCTCCCTTAAGCTGCTGAATATAGAGATAGAATTTTTCTCCCAGACAAATAATCTGGGCCAAAGCAGCGGTCAAGAAATGGCTGAATGAGAAGGGAAGTTAGTAACCAAGACCAAAACTAAACGTGATGTGTTTTTGTTCAAAAGCCCAACCTTCAGAGAATGAGCCTTGAAGAAGAGGTCATCCTAAAAACAAAGAAAAATGAGGCATAAGCTGGCTTATTCAATGGTATTTCAATAAAGAATCTCTTACCATGAGATAAAAGGGCTGAAGTAATTATTACAGACTCATAAACATGAATTAAAACTTTTATTACTTGACATCTTTCCATTCAACACTTGCCTTTTTCCCTTTGAGAAGGAAAGAGAAGTAGAAGACAGAAGGATAGAGACAAGGAAACATGAAAAGGGGTGAGTCATCCAGAGCTCTTCAAGTAGAATAAGAAATAACCACACAAAGCCTTGATGGCAGAAACAGAGGAAAAATGCACAAGCCCAAGGGAGCATGAAATTCCATCAGAATTGGAGTCCTTTTAAAAGAGTCACAGCCATCTCAGTGAACCTTTGTCAGTTCTTCCCAAGAGAAAGACAACATAGTACTCCTAGATTCAAGTCTCACTTTTTCCACTGACTAACCCTGGACCCTTACGTCTTCTTAAAGGTATTGGCTGGTATCTTAATTTTTGTATATATAGAGTTTAAAGTCTATTAAATGACTCCCCTCGCTGGTCTTCAGTTTGCTCCTCAGAAAAATACTATGATGAAAAGCACCATGAGCATATCACTACTCATCTACAGTCTTCCAAAAATGCAAATCACCTCATATAGTGCTGTTAAAAAGCATTAAACATATAAAGCGCTATGCTTAGTTCTGTGAGAACACAAGGTTGAATCGCATGAAGAATTTCTTACACCCTCCAAAATATGGTTCTAGGGAAGGAAGGACAAAGAGACATGTATATCAATCCTCCAGGACTGGACAGGTAAAGATAATAAGCAGAAAGTAGTGAAAATTTGAGTATGGTTAATGTTCTCAAGACTGAACCATTTAATAGCATTATTAGGAATTTTACATATATTAAACTAATAATGTCTCTCTCTAGTGGGAAAGGGCAATGACTCTCATCCCAAAATTACCTGAAGAAGCTGAGCTCTGGAAGATAGAAATTATCCATGCAAGACCCTAGCAGACATACAAATGTCAACAGCTGCTGCATTTGGATGTCAGAATAATTTACTGTTCTTTCTCATTTTCTTGTTGTCTTTTATAAATATGTATATATTTTGTAATTCATCTATTTGGCCAAACTTTTACCTAATAACTTACTATATGCTGGTCACTACACTAGGCTCTAGATTCTAAATGTACAAAAAGTAATACACAACCAACACTTTCAGAAAATTCACCAAACAAAAGAGATAAATATATAAACAAGCGATTAACAAACTACTGTGGTAAACAGCATGTCCCTCTAAGAGGATAGCCAGTAGCTGTACTGGGCTGGGGCATGAGAGGCAGGCTGGGAAGTAGTGAGAAAGGGGGATGGAAAATACAGTAGCCCCCCCCGTCCATGGTTTTTGCTTTACAGTTTTCTGTTACCCACGGTCAACTGCAGTCTGAAAGCAGATGATTCTCTTTATGACTTAGGGTCAGAAGGTCAACAGTAGCCTCACATTACGTCACGATGCCTGCGTCATTCCCTTCACTTCATCTCATCATGTAGGCATTTTATCATCTCACACCATCACAAGAAGGGTGAGTAGAGTACAAGACATTTTGAGAGAAGGACCACATTCACAGAACTTTTATCACAGTGTATTATTATAACTGTTCTATTATTGTTGTTAATCTCTTACTGTGCCTAAGTTATAACTTAAACTTTATCATAGGTATGTAATGTGTATATAAGAAAAACACATAGCATGGATAGGGTTCAGGACTATCCATGGTTTTAGGCATCCGCTGGGGGTCTTGAAACACATTCCCCATGGATAAGGAGCAGGGGGACTACTGTATCTAAATCATGGACACAGAAAGTGTGAGGAAAGAAAGTGGATCTCTAGGGAGCTGGATTATGAATAGGTACTTCTTTTCTTTCTGCTTATCTAGGTTTTCTCTTTTTTTAGGTTTCTCTTTTTTCTCTAGGTTTGATCTTAAGCCAATGTTAATGGAAAGCCACTAAAGCAAAGGTTTTTAATCAGGTGTCCAAGGATAGTAACAAGGAATTTGTGAACCACCTGAAATTATATGCAAAATTTAGTATGGTAGGTCATTTTCCTGGGGAGAGGGTTCACAGTTGTTGTTTTATTTTGTTTTTTATTAACATATAATGTATTATTTGTTTCAGGGGTACAGGTCTGTGATTCATCAGTTTTACATAATACATAGTGCTCACCACAACACATACCCTCCCCAATGTCCATCACCCAGCAGCGCCCTCCCTCCCACCCCCCTCCACTCCAGCAGAGGGTTCACAGTTTTTATCAGATTACTGAAAGGGTCCATCATATGCACACACAAAGATTAAGAATCATTGCGCTGATGTGATCAGATTTGTTTAAAAAAAAAAAAATCATTCAGGTAGCAAATGCACGGTAGACTGGAAACAGGTAAGACCTGAAAGGGAAATCATTTAAGGGGTTATCTCAGTAAAGCAGGCCAAACTGAGGACTATAGAAGAGCAATGGCAGTGGGAGATGCTAATAAGAGCTAACTTTTTTTTAAACATTAACCATGGGCTAGTCACTACACCAAGCATATTTAAAATACCTCAGTTAGCTGGGTGATGGACACTGGGGAGGGTATGTGCTATGGTGAGCGCTGTGAATTGTGTAAGACTGATGAATCACAGACCTGTATCCTTGAAACAAATAATACATTATATGTTAATAAAAAAAGTCAGTTAAACTTCACAACCACCTTAAGAGTTAGCTATCATTTATTGACCTTTTACAAATGAACATACCAAGGTTCAAAAGGGCCTGACCTTGTCTAAAGCACACAGTTAGTAAGGGGGTCCACAATGAATTCTGTACTCTAAGGCCACTCACCCGTAGGGCCTCTGAAAGGTACATATTTGTTACCGCAAATAGCACAGAGCAACTTGCCAATTTTAACTACCATTGAAAGGAAATGCTTCGATTTGGATCCAACTCTACTTGGCTGCAAAATCAGTGCTATTAGCCACTATACTAACCTGAAGCAAAGGAGGAGGTTTGAGGTAAAGCTAACACAACTTGGTAAACCAATCAGACATGGAAAGTAAAGGAAAGGTATCGGCTCCCTGGAAATTAGGTGTCATTCACTAAAACACAGAATAACAACATGAAGAGGGTTTGAAGGGAGCATGGCAGGAGACAGAAGATGATGAAGTCATTTCTGGACATACTGAACTTGAGGGATCTATAGATACTTCAGATGTCCAGAGCACAGGATGGAAGCATATTAGAATAGACAGATATTCAGTAGTTTCTGAAGACCTGTACGTGAAAAAATAAAAGGTCTTGAGACATGCATTGCTGAGGCAATATGGCATAATGGTTGGGAAGGCAAGCTCTGGAGTCAGACTGGGTGTAAACCCTTTCTCCAACACTTAACCCCCTGTGATCTTGGGCAAGTTTCTTAGCTTCTCGAAGCCTCAGTGTCCTCAGCTTTAAGAGGGAGTTAACAGAAGAATCTACTCCCCAGAACGGCCAGGACGGTCCACATAGGCAAGGCATGTTTACAGCGCACACACCTGTGTCCAATACATGTCAGCTCTTTCTGAGAAGGAGTCCTACAGGACAGAACATCAACACTTAAGACGGGGGGTCGGGGGGTGTGGGGGGGTAACAGTACATTTTGGACTACACTGTCAGAGGCATCTGAGAGGAAACTGCAAAGGTTTAGAAAGAAAAATTTGGAGAAGCTAAAGTTAAGGAAGATATAGGAGTCCCAAGGGGGAAAATAACTGACAATGTCAAGTGCTACAAGGAGGTCAGGAAAGGAAAGGACCGCCAGGCTGAAGGAAATTTCCCAGTTAGTGTCTTATGGAAGATGGGTTGCAGGGAAGTGGTGGGGGCTGGGAAAAGCAGCAGTGTGGACTTTTCTTCCAATAAGCCTACCTTATGGAAGGAAAGAAGATGATAACAGGCAGCAATCCAAGGGAGAAAGCTGAGGGCATGATTGTATTTTGATTTGGAGGAAAGAAATACAATCTAACGTGGAGGCAAAGGAGCTGGTCAGGAGGGAGAAGATGAAAACACAGAAAGAGGGAAGAAATTATTAGTGGACAGAGGTATCAGATGAGACAGAAGATGGCATCCCAGGACACAGGTGAAAGGAAGGACTTTGGACAGGACGAGGTACCCCCTTTCCACTGAGACCCGAAAGAAGGAAGTTGGGGCTCCTGAGTGGCTCAGTCAGTTAAGCGTCTGACTTCGGCTCAGGTCATGATCCCGGGGTCCTGGGATCGAGCCCCATACTGGGCTCCCTGCTCGGTAGGGTAGTCTGCTTCTCCCTCTCCCTCTGCCCCTTCCCCCCACTTGTACGCACACTCGCTCTCTCAAATTAATAAATAAAATCTAAAAAAAAAGAAAAAAGGAAAGAAGTAAGTGAAGGCAGACGCAGCACAGGTATATTTTTAGAGGAAATGGGCCACAGTACTGACGCATTCCCACCTACGGGTCTCTATCATCCCTATGACACCGCTATCACCACTGGAGTCATCTCGAATATGCCAGGGACATGACAAAGATTTGGTAAGTCATTTCCTCACCAACACTGTATGCTTACTATGTGTTAGGCACTGTACTGGGTTCTAGACATGCAACAGTCATTAGTATATATTACTCAATTAACCCTCATGACAACTCCATGAGAGCTATTCCTAGTATCCCTATCTACCCAGGAGGAAACTGAGGCTTAAGGTGGATAAGCAGCTTGTGCCTAAGGTCACACTGCAGAGCAAGGGGACCAGCTCACATTGTCGGACTCTGGAGTCTGAGGTCTATACCAGTAACCAGGTGAGGTTGGTCGCTGAAGGTAAGTGGGGAGGATCTTAGGGGACTTGAAAAGAGGAGGAAAGTTTAGACTATATCTGCACAGAGACAAAAAGAAATCAAGATCACATATGAGTTAGCTGCCCAAACAAGATTAGACCTCCAGTGTCCTAATTCTTGTGTTGAAGTTCCCTGTCCAAGAGACGACATTATCGTTTCAAGGGTGTGCAGCAACACTGAGGGAAGCAATACTTTTATATGGTAGGGGTAACAGAACATTTTTGGACTACATTGTCAGATGGTGCTCCTACCTTTCTGAAATGAAGAAATCACTCCTAACACTCAGGATTCAACAGGTCCAGCATGAATACTAATCTTCTCAAATATTCATTGGATATTGATACTATTGGATAATGATACTATTATTGCTTTGGGTTCTGACTCCTGCCTTCCTTTCAGATAGTTCAAACTGCTTCAGTATCTGTGATTTCGTTGTTAAAATATTTTGAGATGAGGCTGTTGTTAGATGGAGAAACTCTTGTAAAGGTAAATTAACCAAAATCAGATCGAGAGTGGCAAAGCTGGAATAAAAACTGTTGATTCCCAGCTCAGGACTCTTGTCTTGGCCTGACACCTCCTGCACAGACATTTGTCCACTCCCCAGTCTTAGCCCCTCACCTCTACAATGGAACTAGGTACTGTGAATATGGAGGTGCTGAATATACACAAAAACAAAGCCAGTTGTTAGCAATTTTTCCCCAGTAGGGAGACCACCTCTAAAGCTGGTTGAAGCCTCATCATTAAAATTGAGGGGTTTAAGAACCTTGCAGAAGGGACTGAGTCATTCTTCTTAAATACAGGAACTACTCAATAAATATTTGTTAAATGAGTCATTTCTGCAGTTCTTAAAAGCCTGGAAGATTTCTGAGAAGAAAGGGTTGAGAATAGGCCTGTGAGTAGGTGTGTGTGAGCGAGATAATCCCCAGGCCCCAGGCCGATGACTTGGCAATGTTGCAAACCACTATGGAAGCAGAGCACAAGCAGCTCGCGATGCGCTCGGGCTTCCTCGAAGAGTGAGCAGGAGGAACAGAGCTGAAGGTGTAATCACTGCAGGGATCCAATCACAGAACAACAGTCTTCGGGGCCTTCATGGTGTGCTTTTTAACCAGATAATTTACATTTTAATCAACGGGAGGAGGGAAAAACAGCCCATTTCTTTCCCACAACACCAGAAGGTAATCAAGATCATGCACTGGAGCTTTAATACACAGAGAACAGCCACATGACTGTGGCAAGACCACAGCAAACCTGTCTCGGGAAGAAAGGGACTCAGAAGTGTACAGAGCTGTTCTAAAATCCTAATCCAGAGGGATACAGCAGATGAGGATAGCAGAGGGAAAGTGGATTTTTAGTGACAGTCTGCCTACGTAGAAGAAAAAGAAATGCACAGCTCTCCAGGATGTGTTAGGAACGCACATGATAGAACATACCAATCCCATGATTTTTTCCTTCCAATTCTGACAAAGCTTGGGGTATTAACCTCTAAAAAGTCACAGAACATGCAAAGCTTTCTATTCAACGTGGAAAATAATTCAATAAATTAATAATTTACAGAACCCTGTGATGTTTCTGAAAATTATTCTGTACTCCTCCAAGGGGTATTTACAATATGCTTTAGTCTGTCAATAAAGATACAGGTGTGGGAAGGAAATCAAAAAAAGGAAAAAAAAATTATGGTCTAAAACTGAATCTTAGAATGTAACCTAAAGGGGCGCCTGGGTGGCTCAGTTGGTTAAGCGACTGCCTTCGGCTCAGGTCATGATCCTGGAGTCCCAGGATCGAGTCCCGCATCAGGCTCCC